CAGGATTAATTAATGTCTGCAAACACAAACAAGCTATGAAGAACACACACTGCCTCAGTGTGAAGCTCTGTACTCATTACTGATTAAAGCCAATCCAGTATCATACACATCATTAGGATATGGACTTATTTCTGCTCAGTTTTGTAGAATCAAACGAAAGCTTCCTGAATCATATATCATAATTTCCACCATTGATCTTTTCTCACTGCAGAAATTTTGCATTACTAAAGCAGGAAATGCACAGTTGTAATTAATAACATTAACGATGGCTCAGTCCCAATTAGTCATGCTCCCACTGAATTGTAATGCATCAAATGTCAAAATCTTTAGTGACAAATCACTACTGATCATGAGGATGCAAATGCATGCCACAAGCACAAAGGTGATGTAATGCCTATTTCAGCAATCTGCAGAGTGCTAATTGCAGTGGCAGTAATAAAATCTAAAAGGCAACAATGGCACATTAAAAAGGAAAACCAACAAACCACAAAATAATGTAAATTTAGTGCAGTTTTGTGGCCTAAGTCAGAATGAGGATGCTGGAGGGAAGATGAAGGGACAGTTAAGACTATTAACAGGCAACACTGTAGGAAACCCAACATCATCTTCCCACAAGGTTTACAAGCCAATGAAGAATCACATGTCCTTGTCACAGGACATAGTTAAACCTATCTCACCAAGGAGAAATCATTTATTTAGGACGTGTTCCTCTTAAATAAGAATTTCCCTTCTTCCTGGCATTATGCCAGGCATTCTCAAATTCAACTTTCATGATTCTTAAACAACAATGCTCAGTAGTTCATGGTAGGTAGGTGTGTTTGTGTCCCACAGCCTGAACCACCACCCCACCACCCAGTTAGTCGGCCCAGCAAGATCCCTACATTTCAGTAACTGTCACTGACTATTAAGCACTGGACCGCCTCCATCTGTCCATACAGCTAAGCTTGTGTAAAAACCAAGGCCAGTTTCTTCCTCATGTGTACTGAAACAGCAGGGAACTGATCCACAGCCTCTCCACATACTAGTAGGATTTTATTTCCTTTATTTTTCTTGCACCTTTATTATCTAATTTTACACTCAGCTGTTACAAACTGCAGGCCACATAAAAATAAAATAAAAAATAAAAAAAATCAGACAGCCGTCTTCGGAGAAAGGCCTCAAGGAGGCAGCTCTCTAAGAAGAAGGTTTTAATTTCGGCAGTAAAAGAGCACAGTTAAAAAAAAAAAAACAAGCAGCCTGTCATTTCCTCATGCTGGTTGAGCAACACCTTCAATAAAGTACAGCCCTGTGAGGTTTTTAGAAGCTGACTGCATCTATACTCTTGAGTATGCAAACTTGGGCTGTCAAGGAAAAGTGACCTCACCTCTGGATACTAGAAGCAATCATCACAAAATAACAACTGAAGCAGTACAAGAGTGCTGTTATGGATCCAACCAAAAATATAAATGGATCAGATTCTTAGCCTTAAATAAAGCACATAAAACTTTACAAAGCCAAACATCTCTACACCTAACCTTCAAATGACCATCTTATTATAGACTTGCTCTTCTTTTGTTAAAACCCAACTGTAGATTCAACTCGGCTTCACAAATACATGGTAAGAACTATTACATAAACACATCGTACAAGGTGAATCACATAACCAGCTGCAGCTAAACCCCAAATTGTGAAGACTTTATGTTAACAGCAGTTCCTTTCGTTTCCATCTACACTGTATAGGAAAACCTCTACTGTTGGGAATATGAAGGAGAGGCCATAAGCCAAGACAGGAAGGACTGATAAAGATGAAGGACACAATAGAAAAGAAGGGAGATGAGGAGTAGAGGAAGTGAAAGAAAGGTTTGCTGCAAGAACAGAGGAAACTGTGGAGATATCAAAAACTCAGACAGGTAAAATCTTCTACTGCTAAAACATTTTTTTCCTCCACCTTTGACCATGGTACTGACTATTGTGCTGACAGACTAGGTGGGATTGCCTCCTGTGTTTGCTTTGTAGCAGTTACTGTCCAATCCTTACACCACAAAGACAACTAAGACAGCTGTATGCAACATCTAAGTTGCAGCTGTGGCTGTATGACAGAAAACTCAATAGCTGAGTAAATGTTTATCTCACAATCAGTTCTGGGAAACAGTGAGCCTGGAGGCAAGACAGGCCCAAGACCGTGAAACATTATCTGCCTCTAGCAACCAGTCATCGCTGTCTCTGGAAGGCCTTCAGCCTTTTCAGAGGATTTCTATACTGTGTGCCCAGACATGTGAGGAACTGACATACGTAAAATGCAATCCGATAGCTGTTCCCTGAGAGCCAAAGCCACTAAATGACTCAGATGGCTGTTGTCATGACTGTGTTAAAAACAAAGACGAGTTTCTCCCCCACTCAATCTCTCAGCCTCTTTTGTATAAACATTTAGCAGGTCATCAGCCACACATCTGATTATGAAATTAGAAATGACCCTCTGGGACAGTGAAGCAGAGCGTGATAAAGAGAGAGGAAGACCATCTGTCTTTTATTTCATCACAGTTCCTCTACACTTGCACTGTTTTTCCATTTACACATCATTTTATTCTCTAGGTTTCCCTGTGAGCTGTTCTATTCAGACTATAATGCATTGCCTAAGCTAGTTCCCTCTCAACAAACAGACCCAGTCAATGTTACAAACCATTAGGAACCACTGTATCGTAACTTTAGAAGAAAGAAAAAGATTTCATTTGAGTCATTTCCTCCCCTCTTCATTTTAATGCAATTTCATTCTGCAAACCAACAGCCAAGGAATACATCAAAATATCAGCCTGCTCGACACTAGATTTTACCACTGAAAAGTAGCTTCTGCTGTTCCCATCTATTACACTTGCACCTCAAACAGAACACAAGTCTGAAAAGACCCTGCTCAACAGCTCTTTGCCAGGTTCTCCACTTGTTTCATACTCTGTTCACAGACGAGAAGCATGAGTTTTGTGTTGATGAAGTTCCATTACGTGACAAAACTAAATTACAACAAACCTCCTGTAATGCAATGTCTTATGAGCTGTCACTAACATATCATCAAAAGCAGATGTGTTTAGATTCTGTGTTTGTCTCTGGAGTCTGCGGGTCACTGTGGCATTTGTTCAGCCCAGATCTTGTAAACCTGCCTCTCTTGAGGCCTTTCTAGTAATAAAGAGTCTTTTGCAGTTGACTGCACCACTTACTGTGGGATGTGTTACTCATATTTTTAATTTGACTCTATTCACAGAAAACATTCCTATTCTGTGGAAGAATGTCTATGTTGTACCATTGCATAAAGGAGAACTCAGTAACTTTTGACCTACATCTAAACTTCCCTGTCTGGCAAAAATATTAGAGAAGCTTCTTAATAATCAGGTAAAAAAAAAAAAAAATATTTAGCTAGTAATTGTATTCTGAATCCCTGTCGATCTTGTTTTAGATCTGGTCATAACACTGTGATAGCAGCCTCAAAAATTGTTGGTGACACAGGCTTTGGATAGAAAACTGGATTGTGCCGCTCTTTTTGTTGACTTATCCAAAGCTTTTGATTCAGTGGATAACAACATTCTCTTGCAAAAACCTGGCCATACTGGATTTGATGAGAAGTCACACAATTGGTTAGAAATTATTTGTTTGCTAGATCACAAGCTGTTTAAAAGTTACATTTTATGGGTAGAGAAGTCCCACAAGGATCCATTTTAGGTCCCACTTTATTCACTATTTTTATTAGTGATCCAGGATCCAAAGTAATTAGCAGTATTACATATTTATATGGAGATGACTCGGTTATTTATACAGTGGCCCCTTCCACTGATCAGGCTTTTCAGTATTTGCAGTCTGATTTTAACATTCAACATCATCTTAATCTTAAACTAACAAATTATTGTAAACCAAAGCATATGACTTTTGCTAGAAACCAGTGTCAAATTGTTAAATTTAGATTTAAATATAGCTACACTGAACAGTGCTGTCATTGGCAAAGCATAAAAATATCTTGGCTTTTGTTTTGATTGACAAGCTTAGTTTTAAATTGCATATCTGAGAAATTCAATGCTTTGCTTAAGCCTAGATTTTGTCTCAAGTGTCACAGGAGCCAGTTGGTACAAAGAGCAATTTTATCTGTAACACACTATGGCTATATAATTTATACGCATGCCTCTGCCAAAACCCTGAAACCACTTGACTCAGTGTACCATGCTACTATTAGATCTGTTACTGGAGAACCCTTTAGGACTCACCACTGAGTTATATCAGAAAGAAGACTGGCCATCTTTGACACCGAGAAGAAAGCATCATTGTATGTTATTTATGTATAAAGTCTTACTTAATAAGTTGCCTGAATATACATCAATCAGCCATAACATTATGACCACTGGCAGGTGAAGTGAATAACACTGACCACCTGTTACAGTGTGTGGGGTTTATTAGATAGTGAACATTCAGTCCTCAAAGTTGATGTGTTGGAAGCAGGAAAAACTGGGCAAGTATAAGGATCTGAGTGACTCCGACAAGGACCAAACTGTGATGGTGAGATGACTGGGTCAGACCATCTCCCACCCTGCAGGTCTTGGTGGGTGTTGTTGGTCTGCAGTGGTTAGTACCTACCAACAGTGTCTAAGGAAGGACAAATGGTGAACTGGAGACAGGGTCATGGACGTCCATGGTTCACTGATGATGAGGTTGATCTACTGTAGATTAAACTTTTAACTTCCATTTGTACTTTTTAAAAGATTAAAATTTTATTTGAATCTTTGTTAAAATGGTTGAAAATGAAAAATACTGTCCATTGGTCTCTATGAAGAGAAAGAGTCAGGAGCTGTAGTGGAGATATCACACCTAGAGTGGTGAGGCTGATGAATTTGTCTAAAAGACTCTTCCTGACAGTAGAACTGTGGAAGCAAATGGATTCACAGAAGATGCACAGTGAGCTGCAGAGTGACATGAGTGCCAACCAACTGCCACATTGACTCCTATGTAAACAGTATTAGGCAGGTGGTCATAATGGTATGCCTGACTGGTGCATTACGCACCTCCTGCATTATAAATCAATGTACCAGACCCATTCATAAGATAATTCAGTAATACAAAGATGTTCTTCTGTTGCCATTCCCTACAAAAATGGAATAGTTTACAGAAAAAGATAAAACTGCTTTTATATAGTACCTTACAGTTTAAATGTGTATATATTAGATGATCTGAACACTGTGGTTTTAATAGGATTTTATTTATTTTGTGTATGTATTCTGTTTTTAATGTGTGACTTGTGATTTTGGATTTTTAATACTGATTTTATTTGATTCATGTGTATATATTTAACTCAACTGGTTTTCCCTGAATAAATAAAGCTTGATGATGATGATTTAAAAATGCTGGCCTCTCTAGTCATTATCAATCCCCTTTTCCCATTTCATATACAGCATATACACAGCTTGGAGAAAGGAGGATATGTGAGAGTCAACTATGCTTCCTGCCCAGATGGTTTGGCCAAACTGTTCCCCATCTTCTCAGTTTTTGGTGTCTTCATCCACAACTCATGTAATCTTTAATTGCAATTATGAGTTATCTTTTCTTCATCATACAGAGAGTTTGGCTGGATGTTTCAGGCTCTTCTCCATACATCTGCTCAATGTCAGCATTTAAACACTCGAGTTAATGAGATCTTCTCTTCTACTAAAATCATGTCTGGAGCAAGTGTTCCAGCTCATGCCAGAATGTCTGTTTATACTTCATATACACATGTAATTAGTTATAAACATGAGCGTGCACAATAGCATTTGGACAGTCTCTCCCTCTATTGCACTCTCACACATGTTCACATTATACTGAGACAGTTATGATGTGTTTATGGAGAGAGGAAAAATTAAACACAGACACTGCCAAGTCAAGACGTAGGCAATTTATGATCATTACAACTATTCAAGTAGCCAGGACAGTTATGAAAATTACCACAGCACTGGAAGAACAGCAAAAACGGTAACATTACAGCAGCTCAAACATGACAGGCTGCTGACATGGAACATTTAAGCCATGCAGGAGATGACATTCACAATAGCACTAAAGGGCAAGTTTAGTGTACCTGCAGTAACTATGCTATACAGTAAAAACATTTTCGATCAGTATGTCGGTCCACCAACAACACTTGGAACCAATCTGGTGGAAACTTTGATCCGTTTCTTGTTTGCTGTTATGCAAAAAGTCAAGATATGTCAAGTTGAAAACTTCTGCAAAACATCTGGACATGTCAAGAGCTTAGTTATGCAAGAAACTCTCCTGGAGATGGCATATCCAATAGAAGGCTGAATCCTTCTAAACTAGTTTAACTAATGAGAACATATTACACCATGGAAATGAACACCCTCTTTGCCTTCTTTCCACTCACTCACCTCAAGAAAATATTAGAGCAAAAAATATTGTTGTTCTATGTTAATATGCCTTTCAACCCTAATTATGTCCATAACTGTTCCCCATTTATCAATAAGGTCTATTTTAGGCATCACATGCGTGTATATTTCAGTAGTGTGGTAACACAGCATTTAAAGGGTGCTTAAATGGTGAAAATTGGGCTGTTTGTCAGTAAAAACATCACTGCACAACTCAAAGACTCAACCAGTTCAATATGTCCCTATTCAGGCAGTGAGCATAGTGAAACAGTTGCTGTGCACCAACACACACACACACCTGCTTTTCCCATCATGTGTCTGTGTGGAGAGCAAAGAGGCTGACAGCAGTGGAAACTGTATTCAAGTTCAGTTCAGCTGTTGTAGCTTTTTTCTGCCAAGATTCTCAGACAAAAGCACAGTGAGAGCAAGAAAAGTCATGGTAGTGCAACAGAATGCTGCTGTATCAGTGTGTGTACTGTGCACTCTGGGTCCCTCTCTCCCTCCAGACTGCAGCCTTCATCTCCTTGTCGGTACCCTCAATCACAGCAGTGACTGCTTTCCCCTCTTGCTCACTTTTCCCCACATTTTTCTTCACCTCTACTTCAAGTCCTTCCACAACAAGGGAAACTACACCTGACCCCTAAATCTTTATCTCCAACCATTACATTTTACAATACATTAGACTGAGATGCCAGGACATTTCATTAAGCTAAAACCCCCATAGCCAGTCAATCGGTCAAACCAGACTGAACACAAGAGTATTAACCTTCAGTAAACTCTGTGTGAACTTGGCCAGGTGAAGTTAAGATCATGGTGCTGGAGGCCGGACGACACCTATGACTTCTCTCCAAATGAAGAAACAGCAATACTCCAAAGACAAGCACTCTCTACAATCTATATTTTTCTTTTGCATTCCTCAGAAACAACACACTATTTACAAGAATCAGAAAGGCCACACTATACTATGCCATTTTTATTTACATTACATCAAAACATGGTCCTGGTAATGATATAATGCCACAGAAGAGTATGAGCTGTTAAGGCACATATGCAGGAAGACTGTGCTGCACCCCACAGAGATGTGGTTTCTGTGGTGTTTTAATAAGGCCATAGTGGCCAACCTTAAACATAGGCTGTCAAATGCCTGCTGTCAGGAGGGTTACATGGGGTTTCGCTGAGGCAAAAGAAAGGTGTGAGAGACTAAGTGAGCCTTTTCCTGATATGAGGCTCTGATGACAGCATGAATACTTTTGTAAATGTATTCACTTCTTGATTTTTACTAAATGTGCAAACATAAAACGTTTTTGGTCTGTCATTGAGCTTCTGAACATAGATGATAGACAAAAATGACAATTTCATCCATTAGAATTAAATCTACAAACCAAAGAGCGAAGCCACTGCACCTATACTACGCAACCATGTGTATTTTCTTTGACTTTTTCTTGACTTACTTTTTTCTAGTTGCATAATTTGAGATGTGAGGGTAGATGTTTGTCTAACAGTTTTAGATGTGTCACTCTGCAACTTCACTAAAGAAGAAAAAAGGTATTTGAATGTGGTATGAAGGTCAACAGCTCTACTTGATTCCACACACCAGAAGTCAAAAATAACATCCAAAAACAGCTGTCCATCTCCTCTCCTCTCTCTACTGATTCAAGAGCGGCTCACCTCTGGCTGGATGGCTTTGAACACAGGGGCATCCATAAGCGTAATCTGGCCCTGGAGGAGATGAAACACAACAGTTGTTAGAAAGTCACTTTTGGCTTTTTCCCTGTTTAGGGGTCGCCACAGCGAATCGTCACACTGACAACTCACATGTTGACATTTGGCACGTGCTTCACGCCGGATGCCCTTCCTTACGCAACCCTGACTCGAACCCGGGCCACAGCGGTGAGAGCGCTGCGCCTTAACCACTGGCCTACCAGTTGTTAGGCTGGGGGGTGGGCGGGGTGGGACTCGTTACAGTTCCCCAGACACCATACTGCCATATCAACACAAAACTGGGTGCTGGGCAAGTCATCAATTCTCCAATCTAAAGTCAGTAATAGGGTTCTTCCACTACAGGAACCTATTAAAACGCAATGAAATGTGTAATGCTCATCACGGGTTCTGCATTTGTTTCCACTGCCCTCTGCCCACTTTGGGGGTGCGTGGAGAAGCACCTTGCGAAAATACAGTGTAAAAGCAAAGCAGGATGGTCCTCCCCAACCTGTGAGCATATGCCGGGTGACCTTTAATGGGAAGTGTACCGCTCGTTAGGTTCGACAGTGGAAACGCAACTTAAATGAACATTTCAATCAATGAAACACAGTTTTTGCTCAAGAAGCCGTGTCATCTCAAGCCACTGGGTATGACATTGAAGACATTGAACAACCCATAATTCCCAGGCGGTATGACATTGAACAACCCATAATTCCCAGGCCAGACATTTGACTGATATCACCTTTAAATGCCTTGCTGATATACCAGGGAAAGATGTTACATGAAGATGCTTTAAGGCGAAGAAGATAAAGAGCTCCCTCTTTTGGATGAAGAGGGTGGAAAAGAGGACAAACATTAAAGCAAAACTAAAATCAGTTCAGAAAGATACAAATTTAAAAAAAAACAAACTATTATTATGGGAAAACCTGAGCAACGTTAATTCCCACACCAAGGTACAGCTGATTCAAAGCAAAGGGTTCATAGTTTGTGCAATGGCAGCCAAGGGGAAATCTATCAGAGGCTGCTTGGCACTGCCAAATATCATCAATTATTACTGAGACAAACTGACCTGATTTTCTCCTCTGTCATCACATCACCTCTTGTCTCAAGTCAGCAAATCATATTTGTGCTTACGCAGTCATGTATGCAGGTTCATTAGACAAAGCCACACCATGTAGCAGACACACACTTTACTTACTGCATATTCTTCAGGAGTGACCTTCAGCACATCGAACACGACAGCATCAAAACTCTTCTTCAGCTCTGAAGAGCCTTTATCGCTGAGAGATTCTGAGCTGCTGCTCTTCTAGATGATAAACATACATAGTTGCATTATACGGTTGAGATAAAGTGTCAAGTAACTGAAAATGATGACTGTGCTGTTAGGAACAAGGTTTTGCATGTGGAGAGGAGAGGTGAGCTATGTGAGGTTTGAGAGGGATAAACAGCCAACATATTTTTGAAGCCAAGAATCACTTAGAAAGGCAAAGACACTTAACTAAATCTCAACATATAACAATCATACACTAAAGCTTTCAGAGGTGAAAGATGCTAAAAGAATGTTCTTGAGAAATTCTGACTAGAGTGGATAAGGTTCCAGCAAAGTGGGTGTGGTGTTACCTCAGAGACTGTTGCAGCAGTGGTGGTGATGCTTGATTGGCCATTAGGGAAGTCCATCATTCCCACACCATCTAGCTCTAACGAAGAAGACAATTCATCATCCTCAGCTGCAGCAAAGCCTGCCAGGCCCTCTGAACACATACACACAAAACATACTACAGTAAGTAAATTTTGCCCCACACCTTGAACATTACTATTGAGACCATAATGAGACAAGATCATTCAGCCTGTAGCAGCAGCACCACCTACTGGATGATCTATGTTGATCCAACTATTCTCAAGTATGCTCATTATTATAGGCTCCTGGTTTGACCATTAGGTTAAATTCAACCTATGAAAACTGGTTATGGATGAACTTGAGATGAAAGTGTTGACAGGCTCAGTTATCATCCCAGCAGACCTGTAGATGTCATATGTAGCATGTCACTGACTACTCCTTCTGTTCTGTCACTGATAGGACAGAAGGTGATTAGGCTGAGCATTAGGAGGAGATCTTCGGTGACAGGGGTTTGGAGAAAACAGCTTACACCTGACACAGTATGACCTACTGCCACTCAACAACTCCCCACACTGCACCTAATTACTAAACACCAATAGCTAGCAGAGTATTAATGTGCATGTGTGGAAATTGACCAGTGGATTTCAACAGCCAACAGCACTTTCAGAAGAGCTGGAGGTTGGAAATTCAAGTTGTCAGAAAGACAAGGTTTATTATGTGATTTGAGCCACGTTCTTCTCAAAACCCAAGTATCAGGGGCTTCATTGAGTGAATTAGTTAATACAGAGTAAATGAGGACTCAAATACCATGTCACTGTAAGAAGCATAAAGGCAGCAAAAATATTAATTAGAACACAAAAAGTAAACTACTTACATCAAAAAACACAAGAGCTGTAACTTGTTTGTTTAATTACCTGATAGATTAAATCATTTCTAACCTCTGTCACCATTTTGTCTGTGAATGAAATAATCAATACACAGCTTCAGAATCAGTTACTGAATGTTGCACAACCTGCATTTTCATTATCTTCTTTAAATGACTGTAAACAACCTCACCTATGCTCACAAAGTACTACTCCTTCAGTATCACGGACACTACTAGTTCGCTGTGCATTGGCAAGAATCTGGCGATACAGTACGTATACAGAGGTTACGATTCCATACACTGCGCTATTGTAAACAACCCAATACATTGCAATTTTTTCAAATCTAATTTTAGAAAGACTGTCATAAAATAAGCAACACACCACCATAAGCATAACAACTCCTGCAAAAAAGTAACATTTTTATGCAGTCAGAACAGGGATCTGCATTTGCCGGTTCCTGTAACATCCAACAACATGCAAACTATTAACTAAAATACAAATGTGTTTATGTAATATCGCAATACACAAGTGTATTGATATTTTCATACACCCCTAGACAATACTCATAAAGTCATGGTCATAAAGTCTGGAAGAACAAGTATCTCATAATATTTCACTCTGAATCTATATATGATTACACAGATAAATTGAAACAGTGACAATGGTGATTATATTTAATGATCTTATGTATCATGAAAGGCTAAAGACAGTGTCTCTGTCTTTCATAGTTAGAATGGAATTTCAACTGTGAATGATTTCTTACAGTATCAAGATAAGATTTAATACTCCTCAATATTCTTCTCTGCCCAGGACAGAAAACACCTCAGAGACTATTCATTGCCAAAAGCACGCTGAGACAGTAATAAAAACTAAGGAGATGCTTAAAATACCCAAGGCCAGCAAAGGCATCCCTTGTGTACTTGACAATCCAGGCCAGTGTCTATGTGTGTGTGCCAGTTCTTTCCTGGCTCAAGACTCAGGCTGCAATGGCCTGTGCTTTAAGAGCCATTAGCTGCCTTCCACCGCTGCATTCTGCAGAGCCAAAAACAAACAGCACTATATCACATCAACTTCCTTCACACAGTTTGACAGCAGTGTCTAAGTGCACAGGAAGCAATAGTTTGTGTTTACAAGTCTGAATCTGTCTGTTGTTTATCTGTAATTACTTCCTGGGATAATACATGAATGTCTTGTCCATTAGTCTGAGGTTCCCCTTGACAACATATCTCTTTGGAGATTTGACAGCAGTTACAACACACTAACACACAGGCCAGTGTTTTAGAGCAAATGCTGCTATAAATGACAACAAAACATAGAGTAACTACTATTGTCCCCTCTTTCAAAAAGAAATACATCAACTACCTCTAACCTTTACTACTGAAGATGCCAAGGTTGTTAGGCTTGTGACACATTTGTTTAAACCAGTTGCTGGAATCCATGTACAATTTGCGTATTTAATACAATAAACAATCTACAATCATATCTGCTCCTCTAAGTGTGACGTGTCCAACTCTAATCATCTGCTCAGGTGAGGATACAACCCTACAGGGACACAGACATACCTGTGCTGCCACCACAACTCTAAAAACAAGCTGCCCTTGCACACACACAGTACTTACCAGGTGTGTGTCAGATGAGCATAGTGCTGAAGTGAGGTTACCCTGTTGTTCTATATTGCTGTCTCAGTCTATCGACTCCTCTCTTTCACTTTGGCTGGTTCCTGCTGGAAAAATTGAGAAGAACAAAAAACAGAAAAGGGAGAGACAGAGAGGGAGGCAGCATGAAAAAAAAATCCAATATCCAATCTAATAACTGATTTTATTTGTACAAATGCTTAACTAACCATCAGCCACTGCAATGACAAGATGTGTAGCCAGTATTTTAATGTAAACCTTTCTAACTGCATTTCTGATTAGCTCACTACAGCAAAACATGGGGCAGGAAGTTTGACAGACAAAACCTTTACAACAAACAAATGCACACTAAAGCTTTCCTTTCATCATACCTTCTTTGCAGTGATAATCATATTGCATATATTACATAACAAAGAACCTCTTGGCCTTATTGTTCCTCTGTTTAAAACACAGGACTTCTAATATAATTCCAATATGTGCAGGGATGTTCCAATGGTGACCCGTCTGATCTTGAGCAGGAATTTTACCAGGAGTAATCACAAGTGCATTGTGATCTGTGTTTTCACAGTAGACATTCAGAAAATTAGCCAGCTGTTGTATCAAAAGCAGGAAGGCTGCCTTTCACATCATTTGTGTGTGCATGTAATGTTGTCCTCTGTGAAAACAGACACCATCTTTGCTTTCTGCCTCCTGACATCCAGCATGACATTACATGACTCACATTAGCCAGTAGGTGTCGCACTAAATCCTGTGTGTTGGACTGTAGACAAATGCTGCATGCTGGCATTAACAGTAGTTAGCCTTTAGTCATCAAACAGGAGCTAAGAGCTTGTCATCCCCTCCACGTTGTAATCATGCTGGATATGGGTGCAAAGCTCACGAGCAGGACAACCAATGGACTGACACATTCCATTCCAAAAGTTAACTTTAAACCTTTGGTGACCACAAGTTTCACTGCAGTTAGGTTTTAAGCAGCCTTTACGAGCAACACAGTTTGTAAAATTTCTTTGTACACAAACTTAACAGAATGCATGCTCATAGCCTGCGAGTCACTGTCACGCCACTGAGGACTGATCTGCTTGTACCCTAAGTGGTGGAAATACACACCAGAAACAGCCGCTCAGCTGCTGTCACTCTGCTCCATCTGAGCTGCCTGTCTGTCATTACCACCAGACTAGTTTATATCAAACTTTATAACTCCTTAGCTTCAGTTCTGCCCCCACTTAGGAAATATCCTTTGAGTAGTGACACTGCGTAGGTGTATTTTGGGAGGCCTGGGAATGTTAGCATAGGCTGAATGTTTCAGCGTCACAAGGATAATCCTTTACGAAGACATGACAGGGATTAGAGGAAGGAAGCAGAGAACAACAGAGGAAGAGTGACAGAAAATGGAACGATTCAAGTTGGAGCTCAAAGCAGAGGGTTTCTTAAATGTGGCTCATTACGCAGCATACCAGGTGCTGGTGAATCAGGCCTCTGTGAATTGGCGGCCTCTCCCTCCCTCTAGCCATGTTTCCAGATGGCTTTTTCACATACTGCAGTTCAAACACAAAGGTGCTGGCTGTCTAACAGGCCTTGGTACTCATGTGCAGTCATGCACACAGCAGTATACAAGTGCATACGACAGCACCTTCCACATCCTGCACTGACTTTAAACACTCCCTGTCCTCCTCATGCCCTGCCCTTTTCCTCCTCACCTCAACCTCACTGTATAGCACAACTGTCTTTGAACTAGGAGTCATATTAATGGACAACAAGGATCTTTTCCATGAGATAAACAAATCAAAGTGCA